TTTTTCCCCGATCTTATTTTTACCTTTCAGTTTCATTCAAATTGTTTTCCCTGTGACTTTCGTATCGGGAGCTCCGCTTTTAGGCAGTGACTAAATATATATATTGACCCGTGACGGCTAGCGCCGAAAAGGTGAATTGCACAGCTCATGAAGATGGCTTACAAGGGCTTTGAATACTCACCATCCTTTTCAGGTTTGCATATGTTTGCTTGGATGATCCCCGTGAAAAACAGCGCCGTAAAAACCACCGCTGCTAAGACGACAATCGTTATGGTGGTATAAAAGATTGTTTTTATTCTATCACATGACGTTTCAGAGCACATCTTTGAAGTCCTTTCCTTTAAATCGCTTTTCAATTAAAACTGAAACAAATGAAGACAAGGAACTGATGATTACTCCGTCCTAAAACAAAGATATACGCGGATGTAAACCGGTTTGAACTGGCGTGAGCTGAGAAAACTCTGGAGAATTCGGAGAAAGACCTCCTTGGCACAGCAGAAAATCCACAATGAATAATGCCAAGAAAGGTCATGTCTCTAAGTATTCACACCAACGAAAATGAGTTTGGTTTACTCAGTACACGAACAAAACAGATACATTGTTTTTGTTGGCTTACCTTTTTAGTTCTTGACGATCCAGAAGAAGAGACAAAATGTTTGCTCATCAGTCAACCCAAGCTTTATAAATGATACGAAAGGGACGTCATTCATGACATCATACCAGTTATATTTAGCCCATAGATTTCCAAGAAACTATGCTTGGGAATAACGTTGGCGTACTGTCCGTGCTGTACGTGTCAGGTCATAAATGGGAAACCCCCGACCGTAAATAAGGGGAAGCCCCTAAGATGCGTGTTCTTTGAAATATTATTATTTTAGCTGAATATTATGAAGAAAAAAAAGGTTAAACAAAAACTTTTTTTCTAGTGTATTCAAAAATTCTTGTTGAAAATATATACAATAACCATATGTAATAAATATATAAGCTTGTAATTTGGTATTTTTTTAAACAGTAATGATAAATGGGTAAATTTGACACCGTGAAAAGATGAAAAAACTTACTGACGTTTCGGACGCTAGTCCTTCGTCGAAGTATTTTTTTAAACATAAGTGCGACTCGCGAAGTTTGATGCCACATTCGCCGACTAGCATTTCAACAACTGTCAATCAAAGAACTGAAAAAGATACTGAATACTTGAATTTCCGGTTGATCAGTAGTTCCAATCTTGGTAGTATGAGAGGAAACAAAGCTCATTCTTGGTTAACTGAGTAACTTTAATTTATGAAGGATTTCTTCCTATTTGAGGACTTTCTGCTGAACAACTGTTCCCTTGGTATCAATATTTCTAAACAAGTCAATGTATTTAGCTATTCTAGTTGTCACTGGTATTATGTAAAGTCTACAAAACTCCTCTTTATCATATTCCTTATAATCCTGATTACAGTTTTGGTTTTGAATGTTACTAAGCATTTTCAGAACGTAGGTATAACAGTTATATGAATCTTCATCGTATCTAAATGAAGAGAAAGAGAGAGAAAAACACTATTATTACTATTTTTAGCAAGTAATTCTCAATCTTTATTTTGGTAGCCTTGGAGCAACCTATTGATGGCAAGGGGTTTGGGGAGAGCTGGGTCATTCTCTCTCCCCAGATTACCCCCAATCTTTCAAGGGGTTCAGGAAGGGAGGTTAGAGGGTCCACTTTAAGTACCTATAGTTAATATCACTGATCAAGTGAACGAATAGTACAGCATACCTTGCTAATRTCCAGCAATCTGAATGACAGCTTGCGTCAAGGACAGAATCCCAAATCCCTGCTTCATGACATGTTATGTCTAGTCTTGCACATTGATCCCAGTTATTGTCATCCATCACCAACCCCCTCTCGTCATAATTATATATGAATCCTTTATGAAATAAACAAAATAGATTGGTTAGATATATAATAATAAAAATATTAATATAAAAATTATAATAATGATACTCATGATGGTGATGATGATGATGCTGGTAAATGATCGATGATGATGTTTATAAAAATTAGTGTGATGATGATGATGATGATGATGATGATAGAAATGCATGATGGTATCCTTATCAATGCAGACAATGAAAATGGCTGATCCAGATGATGATGATGACATTGAAGATTATGAATATTGTTGATCTGTACAGTAATGATAATAATTGCCATTTCAGAACCCTCTAAATGAGGGAAAAAACTTGCAGCCATTACCTCTTGAATTAGCGATGCCGATATGAAGATTGTCCCCATTCACATAATCTCTGCCACAGGAAACCCAAAATACGACTATAAGTTAAGTTCATCAATAATTATCTCGAACAAATATACTAGCAGAAAGAGTATGTGTGTTCCATACCTTAAGAAATCTCCTTTAGTAGGTCTAATCAGTACAGAACATCGTGATGACGGATCATGACTTGACGAAAATGGACAAGGAAGACAAAATGGTGGAATAATAAGCTGACAGCTCTTTAGTTCTACACTGCATACAGGACAACGAGGTGGAAAATCGACGAAAAATATACTCAGGCTTGAACTACAGTGTTGCATGCACATGATCCTTTCCTTTTTAGAAGAAATCATTATATTCAAAGGCCGCAATTAAAAAAATTGTTTACAAAAAATTTGAAAAAATATATGTTTATAAATGAATTTCACCGCGAAGGACTGGGTACGAAATGACCACAAAGATCGCAGGCTCAACTAGAACTCATTCCTCCGCGGTCATTCTATATTTTCATCTTTTTTTTAACACGTGCAAATATATTGTCAAATATGCTGCAATTTTCCCGGAAATTTCTGACTTTTTCCGAGGTTTTTAAGCCCCTAAGTGAAGTCTGTTTAGCATGCAGGACAAGTCAGGTACTTTGTAGAAGGACTTTCTTGAAAAGAGCGTCAAAAGAAAAGAAAGAAGAAGATAAGTTGAAAAGAAAGGAAGAAAGGAGAGAATTGTAAGATCAATATTTCTAATCTAATCTAATGCATTTAACACTCCTGGGTGGACGGCATTATGTCTAACAGATTCTGCAACCCAATTGGGAAGGCAGCTGATAGATTAAAATAGATTTTTGACATTTAGAAGTTGATATTTGAGGAGGGAGGATAAACTGGATGTAAACCCTTGAAGCACAGGGGAGAACCAACAAACAGCTCAACTCACACCAAGATGGGCAGGGCTAGAACCCAGTAGTACTACAGGTCGTATAAGTATTGGACTGTATTTGAAAGATTCAAGAAAGTATTTGGGCTTCYTGTGTTTTTGTTTCAAGACTGCTTTGCTATAACCATTGGTATGTTCCATACTTTTAGGGTTGCTGAGATCACTAAGGGATATTTTTCAGACCTAAGAGGTGGGTAAAAGAAATAAGTTTGGCTTCATGAAATACAGACATGTACAGGAAAATAACATTTGGCCACCTCCCCAGTAAAATGTATAGCCTCCTGACCCTCCCCACCCATTGAAAATCACAACACCTCTCTTAGTTGGGGAGGTATGAATATTTTCTGAAACTACACAGTATACAATCCTCCTCAGATCTTTTCCACCCCTTGGAAATTCAAATCGCCCTCATGGGGGACATATGGATATTTTCTAGAACTACACAATAATGCTATAGTGCAAAATAATGCTACACTATCCTTCTCACACCCTCTCAACCCCTTGGAAATTCCAATCTTTCTCAATGCGGAAGGTATAGATATTATCTAGAATTATTATGATTAAAGATACTATGCTGATTAATCAATAGATCATGCTATTATATCAGAAAAAGCTCTTATCCTTTATTTGAATTCTCCAGAGTTTGGTCAAAGTGGTGGAAAAAGATTTTTTGCTGCTGAAAAATTAATAGATCAAGAGGTATATATATTTATTGTAATGTACCAATGCTCCCTAGAGAGTAGGTTTCTGGTAGAACGGGAGGCCAAACATGTGTGAAGCAAGGGAAGATATGAAAATAAAAGCACTGTGTTTATAAGGAATTATTGTGTTATTATTAGTTTAAGAAACAATACATTAAATTAAAATTTAGATTTTGTTAATGATATATACACTGTATTAAATACATTACTTTTTTCATTTTAGGATGCTGTCTCCTTCCCAGAATTGAATGCAAGAAACTTACACAAAAGAGATGTAAAGTTGAATGAAGAGTTTAATGATAGTGTTACGTTGGTGTTAATGTGGTTACGTGCTATTGGACAGGTAGAAACCTTTAATATTAGAAAGCCTACTGGTTTGTCCTTCCTATACATTTTTTCTTTTCTCTGTTATTGTTACTTTGGTGGAATGTGTATGTAGTTCAAGCTGGGGGTTGCTGGTTTGATTCCCAGCTGAGCCACATGTGAGTTGAGTTTGTTTGTGTGGCTTGCACTGCTATGGCACTGTCTCTCACCACTGTGGTTCACACCTACGATCACGATTTGATTCCCAGCTGAGCCACATATGTGAGTTGAGTTTGTTTGGGTGGCGTGACTTGCTACGGCACTGCCTCTCATCACTGTGTAGTTCATGCCTGAGGTTACAGTTCAATTTCCAGCAGAGCCACATATGTGAGTTAAGTTTTTTTAATATATTGCCACAAGGGATTTTCTCCAATTTTTCTGGTTTTCCTCGCTCCATAAAAAATCAACATCAAAGTTAGTGCCATCACTATATCCACATTACAGTACTGGAAGTAATGGTTATATAATACTTGTTTTATACATCATATATTGATGTTATGCACATGTTATTCTCTTGTTCCTGCTGCCTACTTATTTTGATAATTCCACATTTTACCAACAGAACATGTGTAGTAAATATCGAGAGCATTTCATGGACAATTTTCAACAGCATCCACATGTGAAATGCTTCGAGGTAAAAATAATTCTTTTAGCTTGAATTGAAAATTTCCCTTCAGTAACATATCGTGATACAAAGTTTCATCAAAGCTTAACCCATAGGACTTTAGTTGAATTTATTCTTTGATATTGTACAAGTACTTGCAATTTAATTGATCTCTTCACTCTTAATAATGAGTGAAGGCATCGAAACATCAAGAAAATCATTGTAGTAGCCTTGCCGTCACAAATTTTATAATTAAAACATACAAAGCTTTATTTAAAATAATGTGTTTTGTTTTCCAGGTTAATGTTGTTGATGGATTATTTTTCAAGTTGATGAAACCTTTCATAGAAAACAGTTTAAAACAGCAAATATCACCTGACAAACAGGCAAGTTCTGTAATCTAGGGTTCTGTTATACTGTGAAATAAGTTATCCATCATTAACAGAATATGATCCCTTGTACATCTTCTTTTGTCAGTTATTTAGCATCAATTCTTGGGGTGCATGTTACGTCATAGCCACCATGTTGGTTGATAGTAATAATGCATTCTTCATTAGCTTAGATCAACCAACATGGCGGTTGTTTCATTGTTATTTATATCTCAAGGGATTTTTAGTCTTGAAGGATAGTCTTCTTTACTTTGGGCTTAATGTTTTAGAGTATCATTTCTTTGTTGTAATAATGGTTGCACATAAGAAGACACATGAATATGGATGCCACTTAAACAAAGAATCTTATTTCTCAAGGGAATGACAGTGATCTGAAAGTAATATTTTTTATAATAATATTTTTTCCCTTCTTTCCAGGATCGTTATTTATGTTACTATGGTAACACAAAGTCAATAAAAGATACGTTAATAGAGAACGAGATAGTAGGTCACGCATTTCTTGTAGACAGGGCAGGAAAGGTTAGATGGAAAGCACATGGGAGACCAACGCAGGAAGAAATTGAATTTATGATCAGATGTACAGAAGAACTGATGAAGGAAAWTGAAAAGTCTCTCAATCAAAAATACCAAAGATGAGCGATAGAATATGTTAGGTATTCCACTCTTCTGACAAAATGAAACATGTATGTCTAGATTTACTCTATTGCTACAATTCATTTTATTTTACCTAAAAATAAATTACAGATTATACATTATTTACATCAGAATGGACATTATCTAAAACCTAAGCTGCTTTTCTACTTGTCTGCTCTGAATCCAAGCACTCCTATCACAACACAGATCTCTATGAATGCTGGCAAGGCACTGCAACAAGACAAGAAGACAACCCCTAACATCAATGCAAATATCATTCTTTATATGTTACCAGTATTTTTATGGCTCCAGTTTGAAGGCAGGGGGAAAATGGAGGTTTTGAAAGAATGGCAAAATTATGGGAAATATTGCTAAATTATTCCACTATCCTTTTTTCTCATTCCATATACTGTATGAGATAAAACTAAACCTGTTTCATAAAGTGGTTCTATTTAACATGTGAAAAAATCAGAAGTTAATTGCAACCACTTTAAGTCAATATGTGTTGAAGTGGAGAGGGATAATTGTGTCAAAATTTATTGAATTCTTATCTAGGTTTCTTCATACTTGAGGAAGTATTTTGCTTTACATGTAAGCCTATTATTTTCAACATCTGTTTTTTTTTTTGTTTTTTTTTGAATAGCTGAGTCTGTTCTGTGTTGAGATATTCAAAAAACCTAATCATAAGTACTTACCTGCAGAACCCAAAGACATACCAAAACTTATCACAGTCCCAAGAGTCTATAACGAACATGGATAATGATATTGCCGCACAGGCATGAGCGACGATTGCTGTAACCTAAATTAAGGCTAATGCATTGGTTTTTCAAAAATAATGGGTATAAAATTATTATATAAATGTGGCTTCTCACAGCATGCATATAGCAATGCATTCTGTAACCTTAATCTATATATAGAGCTTTTGCACATGATGTCACAGTGGCCATGTTGATGTGTGAAAACAATACATTTTCTATCATCCGGGAATTGAACTCTGTCTTTATGCAAAAACTGTGCAGAATGTTTCTAATTGTTTGGTACACCAATATGGCTGCCTTGTCATATGAGTGAAAACGCAAGCTTTTTTCTTTATTCTTTCCTTGGTGGGAAAGGGAGAGAGTAGGAGCAGTGAGATAAGCAGGGGCCAAAATGTTTGTAAATATAGTAGAGTCCCGTTATATTGAATCCCAGTCATTTCATGTACTAGAATTGCGACATATTTTACCATAGATATCTTACAGCCCTGCCAGGCTGTTATTAGGAACCTTTTCCCTGGCACCAAAAGGTTTAAGATAATGGTACTTCCCTGTAATAACTTGTGCAAAATTATTCCCACCAGCGAAAACTGTACCATGAATAGTTCCAAAATCAGTATCGTGGAGGGGGTGGGAGAGAGGCAGTTTTTCCCTCTTTTGCTTGCTTTTAGGGTGAACCGCAGTACTTGAAAATACTATACAAACAAAATGAATGTTCATTGGTTACATTCAATGAATTGATACACTGACATTATTTTTAATTATTGTATTTTGTTGGGCAAGGATACATAACATGGTTGCTGTGCTATTGAACATGGAAACCCCACCAATAAATCCACCAAACTCCAACACCAAGAAAGCAATGGTTAAAGATAATCCAACTATCAGCCTGGAAATAAAAGGAACATGCCATCAAGAAGGAAGGTAATCTTTAAGATATTTGAACATCAAATAAATGAGTATTAATAATGAACTTAATATAGCGATAAATATCTTGATCTAGTTGACGTACTCGGTGTTTTTGGAGTCATATTCGGTTTGAGTGTACTGCAGAGGTAAACAAGCCAGAACGTTGGTGTCCTGCGAGGAAACAGAAGTGAAATATTTTTAGTTTTTGGCAATGAAATTAGCTCGAGAATAAGCAGAAGTTTCTTTACTTTGGCCCAAAAGATCGTGATGGTTATGACGAAATGCGCGACAAGGCTTAGAAATCTTGCAGCCACGAAACTTCCAGAAAGCATTGTTTTTAAAATATCCAAGTAATAAATAATATGATCGAGGTATTTTAACGAGAAAAAAGCGAATTACGTTGTCTGTCAACTCAGTCCGCCATTTTGAAATTGTCAAGAACTGTGTAACCGCGCCTGTTGCTATGGTAACACCGCTGGTCACAATCTCATTTCTTCCATTTCCTCTTTTCCTCTTTCCATTTTTTCTTTGTTTAATTTTTAACATTTAGAATTTATATTCTTCAAATCAATTTTTTGTCATCTAACTCCCTTTTTTTTCCCCGGCCAAATACCGAAAATCTTACATTTTGTGAGTTGATTCGGCGTAGCTTGTTCAATTAGTACTAAATGAAGTCTTCAAATATTCTTTAAATGTTCGTCTTCTTTTGATATATAATCAATGTATGTTTTTAAATATCATATAATATATATGAATTAAGCAGCCACATTAATTATCGCACTATTGACGGCTTTATTAAACTTTTATGGAGTCTGTCGTTCAAAATTCTTGGCTCACGCAAATGCAAACAAATGAATTTTTTGGCAATTTGCTTCATGCACTTCAGGGTTTTGTGTATCTATTTTTACCGTTTTTAAGCTTGCTCATTGGAAATTTAAGTCTAAACAGTCTTTTAACATAATGTTTTGAAAAATTGCCCAGTCGTCGAAAAACCCACAGAAACCCCAAACDCTTTAAAATAACCAATGAAATACAGCAATACCAATCACTCAGTTGAACTATCACTAAGAAACTGGACGAATCTGTTAAGCGATGCATTTCTACCTGAGTAACGCCAAGCAAGAAAACTATTTGTGGAATTCAAGTGAACTGCAGTATGCAGTAGAAAATAGGTAAATAGCTTAGGTCCATCATCGAGAAATATCATCTTGGAAACCGAGCCGGAAATAACTTATATTTCGTACGTCTGATGAATCTTAATCGAGTTATCTGATTGAAAAAGCAGTTGATGTATTTATGTACAGACTTTGGAAACAATGAAAACAAGAGAAGATTTAAGGACGTTAGTTCATGGTATTTTTCAACCACGCTTGCCAACGCTGAGACCTCTAGCTTCAACCAAACACTAAACAAGTACGCCGACTTGAAAACGAGCCATGACAACCACGTCGAACAGCAAAGACGGTTCAAGTTTAACCGATGAACCAGGATTCTACACGACGACTATTTTTATTCTATTTTTCCTGTCGCTGATCATCGCGTTGGAAAATTTACTAGTCTTGATAAGCATTGGAATGTTCACTTTCAAAAAGTACTCCATAAATCCATTTATCTGTTCACTGTCTTTGGCCGATATTTTCCATTTTCTTGGCCCGGTTTTGATTTCTCTTCATATTTACATCTCCGACAGACCACAAGGATTGCAGCAACATTATTCTCTTTGTAAAATTCAAAGTTGGTTGACAGTTTTCTTACATATGACATCAATGTTGTCGATTGTGATGCTCGCGATAGACAGAAACCTTTTACTCACTAAACCAGTCTTTTATAAAAGAAAATGGAAGGGTTTATTGTTGGTTGTAGTCGTCATAACTTGTTGGATGCTGTCCGCCTTTTTATCTTCCTGGCAAATGCTCTCAGCGGAGGATGTCAAACCTACACTTTTCGCTCCCCATATTTATTGCCTTTTCACTCCGAGCAGCAGCTTTGCTATCAGTTTTGCTTCAATACATCTCTTCTTCGTGGTGGTGTGTGTGGTTAGTGTGATCTATACCACAAGTTCTTCCAGGAATTCTCTTTTTAGAGCTGAATATTCAAGTGCTACGGGAAAAATTAAGGTTGAAAATACAAGAAATCTTGTTCAAGAAGAATACACTCGTAAGATGACAAGGATGGTATCGATAGTGGTTTGTCTCTACTGTGCCTCACATCTTCCATGGATGGTGAGCTGATACTTCATAAATATGGATATACTACACCAAAAACTACTTTGTTTCTTTATAGCCGCCATGTTGGTTGTTCATTGCTTTCTTTTGTCAGATCGACCAACATGGCCACCACGTGCAATTTTAAGGGTTCATATCTTTAAGATCAAATTTAGCCTACATAGCGGCCCCAAACACACAAACAGAGGGCTGCTACACAGGCTAAATCAGATTTTACTTCTATATAAAAGTTAATTAAGGGGAGGAGAGGTTAGATGGATGGGATTATCTCCCTACCCCTCCCCCCTACTTTGGCTTAAATCAGTTAACGCAAACTGCAGCAACTTAAAGTATCAACATTCAACATGTTCGTAACAGTTCATTCTTGGCTCGTTTGCGCATGTCTAAGCTGTACCCATCTTCTTCTCTAGGTAGCAATATTTTTGGGTTACTTCAACGCGGTTACCTATCCACCAATATATGGTCTGCTGTCCCTGCAGTTCCCTATGGTCAGCGGTCTTTGTAACCCATTACTTTACGGCTTGATCTGGCCGCCATTCAGAAATGCTTACGTTAATGCTGTGAAAGCTCCAATGCGCATGTGCAAGAGGAACACTCGCAACACTCGTTCGCATAGCTTTCAAGGTAACGTAATTTTAATATTTTGGATGAATAAGATTTGCCTTTGATATAATAATGTCATTCGATTTTTCTTTCGTTTAGATTCAAGCTTGAGCCGCAGTCACAGGTTTTGGTCAGCGGAAGGATTCAACTCAGTAACCGCTGACCAGCAAGGCAACTCACTTCAAGTCTTATTTGGTCCCAGTTCTCACTCCAACCAACCAATCAACTTCATGCCAGAAGAGCTCCGCATATTTGAGAATGAGGGACTGACTGCGGACTCTATAAGCCTTGAGATTGTTGGCAAAGGCGGCACTCATAATGTCACAAGTGACGTCACTCGTGGCAATAATATCAGCACAGCTGCAACTAATATAGCACTGGACGCTAGTGGTCAGTTTCAGAGTATTCTCGACTTAATTGAAGAAAAGACTGAAGGCAAATCTAGAGCGCATTGCTCGTCCAAAAAAGGAAAAAGTCAATCAATTGACTCGAGGGACAGCAGCGGGTACTGGTCAGCGGACAAAAGCAACACGCATGCGCCTTCACAGAACGGAAGAAGTAGTTCTTCTACTGACGGTGCAGTGGATGTCGAAGACACTTATTCTTGGGAACAGGATCGACAAGAGACTATTCGTTCAAGCATCGCTGGGTGTGTCTGTATTGGCAAGTCTAAACGTTACGTTATTGACAATAACAGAAATCGACACCTGAACTATGCGGTTGCTAGGGATGTCACAGAGATACGTGACCCTAGTAACGAAGCAGGGGTTATAATGAACGGGAAATAATGGAACTCAATTATAATAATTTTTTTATTAATTGAATTATAGTAAACTGCATGGGGTTTTAATATGATTGGAATTAATTTACTAATATTTTACTCTTAGTGCGAAACCAGTTTCAGAAGACAACCATGCAAATTAAACGTATCACTTTCCTTGGAATTGGAATTCTCACTCCAAATAAGACACCATATGCCTGACTCGTAACTACAGAGGTATCTGGGAAATATTGAAAATCAAACACAACTGACAAAGCACGAGTCAAAGTTGGTCACGTGTTTAATATTAGCAAGATTGCGAATATAGCGAATATGGATATTTTCAAACGCCATTACTAGCGGCAAATACCGGGACTAATATCCGGTTTGTAAATGACTTGATATTCACATACATATTACTTATTATTTAAAGTTATTTTCTATTAATTAATACAGAATATTTGATAATGATCAGTAAGAATCTCTTACTTTCTTTCTTTCTTAAACCTGATTGAATAATTTGAAACTTGTTTTATTCGTTTTGAAAGCAACCTGTTATTCCTCTATAAATCTGTTTAGCTAGTTTTCTGAAGGCTTTGCTCTTTATGCAAAACACAAACGGATTTACGACACTTGTCAATGAAATTGAAAATGTTGAAAACAACCGCATTGAACGAGTGATAGATGAAGAGGAAAACACGAAAAAACCAACAATAAAAGTTGGCAAGTAACAAAATCCAAACAAACAAATGATGATAAATATAATGGCGGTTATTTGAATTTCGTTTGATCTTGATGCCAGATTTTGATTGGCTTGTGATGGATTACTCTCACCGTTTACATTCTCTTCATTATGCTCTGGCTCCTGATTGGCTACTGGTGCTCCTATATCCTGATTGGCTGGTGCCCCTGGCCCTTGATTGGCAACAGGCTGTCTAGCGCTCTGATTGGCTACAGCGTCAGGATTTTGAGCACCGAGTTTTTTGATACGTTTTAGGGTGGAAAAGATTTTAGCGTAACAAAATATGATAATGAACATGTTAACAAGCAGGAATAGAAATAGAAACGTATTGAATGAAGGGCTCGCGATAGGGTCCGTCACACAGATCGCATAATCAGCCAAAAACACGTATCTACTCCAACCAATCAGAGGAGGAGTAGCGAAAGAAAATGACGTCACCCATATACCTATCACTAAGGCAACGGTTTTGCGCCTTCCGAAGATCTTCCGATGGAAATGAGGTTTCGACAGCAGTGTGTACCTATTGACACTAACTACTGTTAATGTGCAGAGGGTGCAGGAGTAAAGAACATACGACATGTACGCCTGAAACTGACACATGACGTCACCCATGATCCACCTCCCTGTCGCTATGGTAACCAGTACTAGTGGGAATCCCAAGACTGCAGACGTGACGTCTGTCATAGCTAGATTGATAAGTAGTATGTTGGAACTCTTTTTGAATCCTCCCTCTTTGTATACGACAATCAATATCAGAATGTTGCCGAACAAGGCTAGTATAATGATGATGATGATTGAAAGTGATTCAAAGATCACTTCAAAGATAGGCCTAGGAGCGAGAACAAGAGAATAGGTGAAAAGATTCACGACACTAGAGTTTGTGTTGTTCATACTAATGTCAAACTTGTTCTTCACGCTGGTTTTTATGAAGTTGGGTCTTCAACTAGCTCTTTCTTCTTCATCAGACGCAGCCAGTTTCTAGTGCTTATCGTTAGAATAAAAAGAACACCGAGGCCGAGATGTAGCTTGGTCTGTAGTCTTCTGCTGGCCTTTCAGGAAGGATTTGACATTGTATCGTCTATTGCATCTAGTGAGAAATACAAGTGACAGCTGTTAGATATGGTAATCAATAACTGGACTACTTAGACGACACGGCCGCCATCTCGGATCACCGAAGGCATTATCGGGCGTCCAGGGGGCAAATAAAGCTTTGTTACAAGAGAATACAACGAAAGATGAATCGACCAACTTTACCCATAAAATATAGACAAATACTTGATATTTTCCGTTATCTTGGGAGTTACCCCCAGGCAAGATGGCCGCCGTATCGCTGAAGTAACCCATTGGGACTGCCGGTGTTGGTGTGTCTAATACGACAAGTGCCGAAGTGAATAAGAAAAGCGGACTTTAAGAAAGAATTGACCTTTTTCCCTTATACGTGAATTTTGGGATACGTAGAAAAAAGGAGAAAACGAAGAACAGCAGCCTGGGTTACGTTTTCAAATAATTAGAAGTCTTGGTGTTCATCATATCGTTCCAGCTACCAGCAAATTCAAATTCAACGAACGAATGAACAAATAAGCAAGTGAGAAAATAAATTACAAAAATGATAAAATTAGGAACGAGAGAGAAGAAGAAAGAAATAGAAATTGAAGAACGAAGTGGGAACCAACCTAAACTTTCCTGGTGCGCTTTGCTGAAAGACCACTTGAATTCTGTGGTACAAAATAACGGTCAACTCAATAACCATCTGCTACTGAAGTAGGGTTGCAGCCAACTGARCCAGCGGCCTCGAACTGTTCCGCTTTTATTCGTCGATGAAGTCTTTTATATTTTGACAATTGTGCTGATCATGACCACTAATGGACGGATAGACTCCAAATGAATTCTATTTTGTGGTTTTGTTTGATTCAACGTGCTAAAACTATTAACAGGAAGCAAGATTTATTCCCAACACAATCACTGGATAATGATAATGAATACAAAAGGCAAGGAATTGCTTTTAAAAGCAGCAACTAAAAGCTAAAAATTTTTGATAAAATTCACAGGAGATAAAAGATTTGACTCGTAAAACGTACGAAAAATAATCGAAAAAAGGCGACGACTTTTTATCCGTCATTGACTGACGACAATAAAAACCATTTGAGACAACGACTACAGAATGATATATTTCTTTAAAGTTTCGAGTAACGATCTCCGGCCACGAAGTACTTAGCTCAATGAGCCGCCATACCTGATGGCCGTATATCAGGACTTAAATAGATTAAGGAGACATTGAAAAGGGGTTTGCAAATTAGTGTTACTCGTAGCAATTGGAAAAAAGGAAAGTATGTGAATTTAATAAGTGGATAACGAAAATCCCATCAAGATGTTAAATGAAACTATGATATAATTCTTTGAACTAGTTTTTTCTTGATATTTCAATGGGAAATTATTCTATTAATAAATTTTATTAATAGTCATTTCAGTACTCGAAGATCGCTTTGTAAACGAATCCTTAATTCATCAGATTTCTATGAAGCTCAAAGGTCGGCTGTGGGATTTAACGTAAAATACTTATTATGGCAATCGATTTTCTCGTCTCTTTTTTCAATCCTGACAGAATGAAACTAGCGATCTCACAAAAGAAACGTACAAAGCGATGTTTTAGTGATGACTGGCATGACATCACTGACTTCCTTAAAGATTCGCAAAATCATCAAAATCAAGAAAAAACTTTAAGTAGTATATATTAGAACCTCGAAGATTATTCCAGTGAAGTTTCTGCCGAATTAAATTTCGGACGATTTTCGTCCAAGTATGGCAGTCACTGATGAAAAGACGCACGCCTCGAAACATCTGATTTTTACTAGAAAGTTCAAGCACTTGTCATCATTTTTTATACATTATATTCAATTTAAAGATTCTACAGAAGGTGCCACACAATTCCTGCTAATAAGAAAATTAACGACTTTATTTATTCATCCGCTTTTCAAAATGCACGCCGATAAGTGGTCTAGCTTAATGGAGCTGTTATTCTATCTATAGCGCTGAGTGAGGGACTCAGCACGTAAATCATTGTCCAAATTGTCCAAATTTGTCCAATTTTAATGGTTCAGCTGAATCTTTTACTGGAATAACCCTTAAAGGTCTAATAATCACTGATTAAAATTATTTCTTGATATTCAACAGGAAAGTATTATATTTTTGCAAATTTTTATAGGAGCAGTGTGACGTCATTCACTCAACACTAAACATCGCTCCATACATTTCTTTATATTTTGTAATCGAAATATCCGCTAGTTTTATACTCAGTATTGAAGAAAAGATACCATAAAATGATTCTAACCATAAGTTATGTACGTTAAGTCCCTAAGCGGACCTTTGGGCTTAATAGAAATAAAGTAAAACATGAAGTTATTTACAAACAAGTGTATATGAAGCGATGTTTAGTGTTGAGTGTATGACGTCACAGACACCTATAGAAATTCGTAAAAATATAATACTTCCCATCCGAACAACAGAAAAAAACTTTAACCAGTGATTATCAGACCCTTATTCCATTGAAGTTTCAGCCGAATTAAATTTTTTAAGCTAGCGTGCTAGTCCCCCTTTAAATGCGTTTACTTTAAGAGAGAACTCTTTTTCATATTCAAGCAGTGAGCGGCAAAAACTATTTTCTTGAAGAAAGGCTGTTGTACAAGGCTAAAATCTTGTTATTCAGAAAGTTTAACTTGTTTGGAAGTGGAGATGACCGATGAAAGTGGAATCAAAGTGTTAACCCAAAGCAAAAATTTTATTCGAAAATGAGGTTTAGGCCTTCATTCGCTTATTTCCCATATATTTTCAATAAAAAAAACCTGACAAAGCAACATTCTAACAAAATGCAACAAAACATCTTTGTACAATTGAAAATACCGCTTCAAACAGGCA